TATATATATATATATATATATATATATATATATATATATATTGTTTCTTTAAAAATATATATATTTAGTACCTGATATAAACAAGAAAAGAAAATATATTGAATAAAAGATAAGAATTAATCAGTGCAACTGAGTGCTTTGAGTTATATAACTGAAAATGGGCTGAAAACCAAAGACTCCGCCGGCATCGTCAATCTTTCACGGCGGCGTACGAGCAAGCGGGGCTGCAATAATGTTCAATTGGATCTAATAAAGACTTTGATGTGGCATACCTGACCGTCAGGTGGTGTCGGTAGGAGATACTATGTTATTAAATTGTTACGTAGGATCGGTACCGTAATGTCATCGCCGTGACGTGAGGGCAAAGAAAGAGAGAGAGAGAGAGAGAGAGAGAGAGAGAGAGAGAGAGAGAGAGAGAGAAAGAGAGAGAGAGATGGCTTGCATTATTTCATGAGTGCGAAATTTTGACGTGAAAATAATTAAATATTGCGACACAACCACGGAATCCGATTAGGTATCTTTTGGGTGTTGCCGTTGCATTGGACCGAGATATGAAATGCGGAGAATTTTCCCTTGGTGCAGGTAAACAACATGGCAATGATCGACTATGGGTATGTAAGAATGCGAGCATGCGAGTTTTTTACTGTACGGATGACTAGCTCTTTGTTTCTTTTGCGAATTGCATAATCGTACGCCTTTCTTTGCTTATTGTCCCTCAACCGTGACGCTCAGCTCTTGCTCTGGAATTCTATGACGTGATGAACAAATGAAGATATTACATGCTTTGAAATGTTGTTTCTGATGCGCGCCTTTTTAGAATCCCTTATATTTTTTTACTTTGATGTAACTGTTTATCATTATTTATCTCTGTTAATTATTATTTTTGTATGGATTAATATTGCGAAGTAAGGAAATAAACAATTTTAGACTAAAAAGTAGCCAAAGTCATCTAGATTTAATTATCTCAAATAATAAGTATATTCATAGTATATTTATAGTAAATTATAAGAGGTTAATGCATTCTAATAGTTTTGTCTTTGTTCTTCAAATAATAGTAACGTGCTATGCGATGAAAGAACAAGTGAGAAAGCGGGTGTGGAAACTTGCGCGTGTGTTCGGGACAAGATGTGATTTATGAAATAATCTCTCTCTGAAGTAGAATTTAATTGAGCGGAGGCGAGGCAAACTGAAGACCGGTGGTGTTCCTTAACCCCGGAATGAATTAACAGCGGATCTTGATCCAGCGCGGCCTCCACAGCAATTTTCGGGCCTACAACGGGTTGTGAATTGATCCCGAAAGGTCAAATTCTTCAGACTTCCTAGCTGAAGCTCACATCTGGCCTTTTCGAAGAGTGTTTAGAGTATTTCACGATACTTATTCATAATACTTTATATTCATAAATAATAACAATGTTTAAAAAGTAGTATCTATTTTTGCTTACATATATATATATTCTGATTTATATTTTTATAAAAAAAATTTTTTATACTAGTTGGTTTGGTTTCAAGAAGTAGGTCGATAATCTGTTTTTAATCGGAAGAATATAAGTTGAGTAATTTAATATACGCAATCGCGTTTATACATCTCTCGATAGTTTTTTCTTGTTCTTTGATAAATATAATACGTAGGCGTATACGGCAATACATGTTGTCGCTCCATAATTCTCAAGAGTAGGGACAAAGAAGTAGAACTCCGTTCTCACAGCCTTGTTCATCTTGTTCATACGTGCTGCCAGCACGTACACTTTTGAACGTCACCGCGTTTTATGTGTCGCGTTCCATCTGCTCGAGAAACGAGAAATCCGAGGTTACTTTCCATGCAATGAAGAAGACCTCTAGACGAGGTCACACTCGGGTCGTTTAGTGGTCGCGAAGCAAGAGTCGTTTCCTCAGACCTCAGTGATGGCAGTGTAGAAAAAAATGAGGATCCTGAGTGATTCGAAGAACCCGTTTTCTTGATAGCGGCCGATAACTACGTGACCGGCGTGGCAACGGCCGGCATTTTCGTGTAATACTCGGTCGAGTCACTAGAAAACGCGCGATACTATGAAATTTTTGTCTATGCGGCGAAAGTATACAGGGTAGAAAACCGAGGTGTCTCCTAGAATATTACTATTCTCATCTCGTTGAGGCGGAGGTTTTGCCCTGTGTCGTAAGCGTCACAATCCAAAATTATGATATGATTCTTTCACGACATGCGTTCAGTGTCGGTTTCAAATAATAAATATAAAAGAGCATTTATTGTGCATTTTAAGGAAATAACGCAAAAATATATGGGAAAACAAGATGATCAATATTAAAATTAGTTTAAAATTTGTAAAAAAGAATATTTTGAAAAATTATTATATGATTCTAAAATATTCGATATGTTTTCGTATAAAATACATAATTTCTTTTATAGTTATTTAATTGAACTCTTGCAAATTGTATGATGTAATTCAAATTGATATAATTTGTGTAATTCGAAATTTGTTTCATTTATGTTTCTAGTTACATGCATTGCTGGAAAACGCTAGAAATCTTATTCTTAATTAATGAATGCTTGCGTTTGAGAGGGGGGCAATGGGAACGGATGAAAGGGATTTATAAAAAAATTTTAATGAGTGTAATTGCGCAAACGAGTGTTGAGGAAAATTTATAACGTTACTTCACGCATGTGCGGCCTCGCAAAAAAATTGTGCATATCTCGCACGAAGGGCATATCGCGAGATATCGTTTAGCATGATGGGCGTCATCCTTAGCGTTCGCTTTAGTCGAACTAGGCAAGCGGACACGTCGGATTAATTCGCGTTACACGCGACGGAGCATTAGCTTAAAACATATTTGCATTCCGAGGTAAATTTTAAATTTAGTTATTTTATCCTTTTTATTGCG